CAAAACATTTCCATAAACTTCTTTGATATTCTTTGTGGCTACAGAGGCGTTGTTTCCTTTCTTGTATTTAAACAGCCTTACACGCCAAATGTATGTCTCGTTGTGTGCCATCGCTATAAGGGATCAGAGTATACTAAACTTTACACATTATATAGGCTACACTAACGTGACGTTTAGGCGGTTCGTTTAATTATTATAAGTGGGGGGTTCATGAAAGTGTTCCAATACGCGACATTAATTTCTTGACGACCTAATATTACGCAATGCTTTCAACAAACATAAGGGTGAAAGGAAGAGGAAAGAAAATAATGGAGTCTAAAAGATAACTTGAGAATGTGGGAAAAGGTATTTCGTGGAAATAAGAAAACGCATAGAGGAAAAGCAAAAGAACAAAAAACATCAGAAACAAAGCTATACAACCTCTGCAATACACGCAGTAGAAACTCGACACCAGATTCAGTGGGAAAAATTATGTGTCTGCGCCACAAACACAAAAATAGAAAGGAAACATTAAAAAGTATTAAAATGGGTAAAAATAGAGACGCTGCAATAAATAGAAAGGAAACATTAAAAAAGTATTAACATGAGTAAAAATAGAGACGCTGCAATAAATAGCGACCAATAAATAGCCCAAACGGAAGCACATCATTCCTGGGAAAGTTTCTTAAAAAGCAAATTTCCCCAAAATAAAGAAAACAGAGCAAACGTCCTTTGAAACGACTCCTGATTCGCCAGGAGAACAGAGGCATACTAGTATATAGTACAAATTAAACAAGAGAACAACGTTTACAACGGAGTTCGGAAAAAAAGGAAAATTAAAAATTCACGAACAGTAATTAAGAAAAAACAATTTTCAGGGGTAAGGTAAAACCAAACTTTTAGACTTTGAACTTAAATGGCCTACTCTGATTTCCGAAAAAAACATGTATGTAAACCAATCGCTCTTTGCAGCCTAGCATTCCAGAACTCATAAAATAAGCGGATTCACAAAGAATAAAAGAAATAATGCTCATGAGCAACCTTCCTAATATTTTGACAACAAAATAGTTAGAGTATACATTATTTCAATCAATCAAAGTATGCAACAAATTTTAACATTATTCGCTTTCGTTTCTCACCGAAGAAAAACTGAACAATTGAGAAACAAAGCCCAATGAGTACTGAAACCATAAAATATATAGGAAAATTGCGTATAAACTACTGCTTAACGATTCACTAAAAACACAAGTTTAGAAGGAAACGTGTAAAAAGCACTGGCTGAAATAGCAACAACCACGTAACTCCAGGGAGTGAGAATATTATTTTTATTTCTTTTAAGTATACCTTCCTCAATACAGTCAGAAATACACCAATTAAACGTTGGTTGAGTGAAAAGCAACAGGACAGGCTAACTGAGCTATGCCTGTCGTAGGTATCGCACCCAGATTTTTAAAATCATAATATTTTAATCTTATTATTGAGCCACCGAGCGGCTTTAAAAGAAGCTTAAGTTACATTCAGAGTGTATACAATAAAGACAAAAAAAAACATACAACGCAGTATGAAAACAGAAGTAACAACATGCAAAGAACATCCAAGCATTAGACATGCTCTAATAACATAATCAAAGAAGAAAGTGAGATTCCAATGAACGTTTCATGTCGTCTACAAAGAATCAAGTAGAAAATAAGTTTGCTCGATGTCAGTGACGCTTTGTTAGCACAGAAATGCCACATGATATTAGTGTATAATGCGTATTGCACCACAATGAGACTGATGCTACTAAAGACGCTTTGCAAGTTTATGTGCTATATAAGATGTGACATCGCATAATATTGTTTACTATGCACCCCCTTGCGTGTAATAAAGGCAAAATATAAACAGAGACTCATACCTGAGGCCGAAGTGGTTTGTGACAAAACTCTAGTAGCTTTACTCTCTCCGTACTCCGTGGACGCCGTTACCCAAAATTCAAAGCGCCTGTTTTGGGGCAACTTGTGGGCTTCGTAATATCGCTGGGTGGAAGGAACCGTCATTTTCACTGTGTTCTGAAACCCAATCACTTTAGACAGTCTCTGCTATTTTTAAACTCATTATACAATAAAACATTAGTTTTTAAACACAATACCAGATTTACTATAAATGGAACTTTTCTTCTCAGGAGAAACACACATTTCACATTCTCTCTTAGAAAATGATTCAAATCATCGATAAATTTAAAAAATATCCTTTCACTGTAAATATTTAGACAAAAAACCCACAGATTCGCATTGTCATATCTATATTTTAGAATGTTTCGTAATTTAACATTTATTAACATTTCACAATGCATATAGAATACGTATGTTTGTAATAATGAAAACCTCCAAACATTTAAACATAAAATGAATTAATGTTTTTTATTTTGGTATCAAAAGTCCAGCAATTAATGACCCCCCCTCCCCGAGTTTCGATAGAATTCCTTTTATATCTTACAAGATTTGACTGATTTGGACTTAATCCTCTCCTTACAATTGTCGTTTTTATCGGGACTAAAATCCTCTGTCAATCATAAAATTAAATCCTTCAAGAATCCATCCACTAGTTAAACAGTCCACCCACTGGTTAATAATCAAACTACGAGAACAATAATTTTACTTTATTTACAGTTTTTCGTAAAAACATATATTACGCAGTGACTTTTGGAGAGTTCTATGGAAACTTCAATTTATTACCAAAACATGTAAAAGAAATTTACAGAACATAAAATGTAACCGAGTTTTTTTTCACAAACTATGAAGGTTAACTTGGCTAGGTCATAGAACAAACATAAAGTTTTATTGGGAGTGTCCTATGAAAACAGTCAAACAATGAAAAGTAGCTAAAAACACTGTTAACTATTAAGTGTACAACACTTCTGTGAAACTACCATTATATTTAAAATAAGTTTAATATTTCAGCGCGGAGCTATACAATGGACTTTCAGCGCTGGGCTCGTCCTGAAGTTTGAACCCCGAATTTTAAAGCTATTAAATGTATTTGTTTCATTTTTGTTTCAAATCAAGCTTTAAGACAGCTATTGTTATGAAAGAATAAGTTCCATATTATTCCACTCAGAATTTCAAAATGGTAATCAGTTTTTTATCATTAATTTATTCGTGTTTGGAATGATGAAAGATAACGTTACCTTAGTAACTCCAGTGGACGACCGTTGGTACAGTGTATAATTTTGAATGACACCATTTGGATTCGAGGGAGGTCGCCAGCTGACCAGTATGGCGTCTGGTAACATTGGTGTGGCTTTAATGTCGGCAGGTGGGCTAGGAACTGAAATGTAGAACATGATTGAGCCTGAACTTGTATTCTAATTCATAAATTAATTTTCAAATATTATTTTTTTTTCTGTAATTAATGCATTATTACCGATTTAATAGTCATTCAAAACACGAGTGCGTAATATTTATAAAAACAAAAGGAAAAGCCGAAGCTACTTTGCTAAAACTGCTTATGTTTCTTTCTTTTCTTTCAAAGAGCAAAGCCTTTTACTTACTCCGGTGTCAAGCTCTGGCCCAGTTCAACTGACCAGAACATTTTAAAGGTTATACAAAACACAAAGCTTTCAAATCAACACTTTCAGAGGAGAGATAGGAAAACTTGAGTTATATAATATATCTTTGCTATCTCCTCATGTGTGGTGGAATTAACACTGAATACAAATCTTTACTTTTCCAAACAAATCAGTTAATCGAACTTAGTGGAAGTAACACCACTGTTGTTGTCAAAGCATATTTTCTTAATAGAGAGCAAAAAAAAAACAACTTAAAAACAGAGCGTAAAATGTGCTCTGAATTTCAAGCGACTTCAAAAATATCACAACGTTGAGACTCAAAATTTAGTGAGTTAAAGCACATACTGTAATATTTCTTCTTCAGCTCTTGCTGTCATTGGTACATATACGTACCTCTCTAGAGTACTGTCATTGGTACATATACGTGCCCCTCTAGAGCACTGTCATGGGCACATATATTTCTCCTTCTCTTACACTGTCATTGGTGCATATATTTCTCCTTCTAGAATACTGTCATTGGTGCATATACGTCCCCCTCTAGAGCACCACCATTGGTACATATATGTCCCCTCCCCCTCTAGGTAACTCCCATGGACACAGGACACACTATATAACTTTTTTTAGCATTGAAAACAAACTATGATATTAATTACAAGGAAATTTGTACAACAATGTAGAATGAAAATTTTCTCAAAGTTTACCAGTTTAAGGTAAGTAATGAAATATTTTTATTATGTATCTACGAATAAACCTGTCACTGAGAAAACTTTTTGTATATAAATGCGACAGCGAAAGAAGTAAACATATGTAAAAATACGAATCAACAAAAAGGCGTATTAGATGGATAAATTATTCAATGATTAAATCATATAACATTAATTAAGTAAAAAGTTTTATGTAGATCTATGCGATCTTAATACAGCTATTGTATCGTTTTGATATAACAAAATGATGAAATCCGATTCCTACCATCTCCTAAAGTCCTGCAGAAGAACGGCTCGCTGGGTTTGCCATCCCCTTCTCTGGTAAAAGCTAGAACTGTTATAGTGTAATTGCAGAACTTGTCGAGTCCTCGTAAAATAACCATTAATCTGTCACTACCAATGGTCACGTCCTGCGTATGAGGTTCTAGGAGAAAAAGAAATCGGCACTCGTGAAATAACCATTATATATTTTGTTGCTACCGATGATCGCTTTTTTCCATATGAGGCTCTGAAAGAAAAAGAAATCGGCACTCGTAAAATAACCATTATATATTTTGTTGCTACCGATGGTCACTTCTTTCATATGAGGCTCTGAAAGAAAAAGAAATCGGCACTCGTAAAATAACCATTATATATTTTGT